GGTATAATAACTTTCTGCAAGCCAGAGTCTAACCAATAATATTTTATTTCCGTTTTAGATACTTGTTTCATTGGTTGCGGCAGCCGCCGCCGAGAAACGCCCAGCCTACAGTCTACAAAGACCTTCTGGTCCAGGTCTGATCATAGGTGGATCAGGAGGCTTCGGTGGCGGCGTAGGGGCCGGTGGAGGAGGCTTCAGTGGTGGCGTAGGTGCCGGTGGTGGCGGTTTCGGTGGCGCAGGATTAGGTGGCGGCGCAGGATTAGGTGGCGGCGCCGCATTCGGTGGCGGCGCTGGATTCGGTAGCGGAGCAAGATTCGGTGGCGGCGCAGGATTCGGTGGTGGTGTAGGATTCGGTGGAGTCAGCTGTGGAGCTGGACAGGTTCGTCATGTGGACGGAAGTTGCGTGACTCCTGTTGTCACCAGAAACTCATTTGTGTACACTGCTCCACCAGTGGCCCCAATCGTCGGTCCACGCCCAAATGTTCCCCTACCAAAGCTTGAACACAACATTATCTTCATCCGTACCCCAGAAGTTGAACTTGGTCAGGAACCCATTGTGGTGCCACCACCTCAACAGAAGAACGTCGTGTACGTCCTCAACAAGCGACCAGAATTGGACCAGAAGGTCGTCCACGTCCCAGCACCAGAACAACAGACTCCAGAAGTGTTCTTCGTCAACTACGCCGACGGCGACAACCCGACTCTACCTACAGGAGAGGACCTCCAGTCTGCCCTCAGTGTTGCTGCTCAAAGTGGTGGTCAGGTCATCGGTGCTGGTGGTGGCATTGGAGGCGGCATTGGTGGAGGCCTTGGTGGAGGCCTTGGTGGAGGCCTTGGTGGTGGCCTTGGAGGTGGCATTGGTGGAAGCATTGGAGGCGCCATTGGTGGTGGCCATGGAGGCGCCATTGGTGGTGGTTTTGGAGACAACTTCAGTAGTGGTGAGAGCGCAGAAGGTGGATTCAGCGTGTCGACCCCGTCTGGTCTATATTCCACACCGTAAACATGTTAACAACGCCTTCTCCATCAAGCTCTTGGCCTCGTACTGCAGGACGGAACAACTCATTGTTTTTATCTAATTTATGATGTTACTAATCCTTCCACTTGTGTAATATTTATTTTATCCAAGTCATGATTTTATTTAACATGACAATCTCGGATATCACCTGTAAACGATGACCAAGATAAATATTAACCTTATTTATATGATTTGTTTAAATTTTCCTGGTGGTTCAACGAAAAGAATAAAGACGAGCACTTTAGTGTGAGCTATTGAGGAATGACTCAAGCCATAACTTATGCTTTTAATGGAGAGCAGATTAGTGTGGTAATAGTATAGGAAGCTAGCATATGAGGCCACCACTATTGTAGTACCAGCATTTTGTTTAACTAAATCATGAAGCCAGCACAAGTGTACTAAAATGCTATTGTGGTACCAGCACTAGTGTGGTACTAATCTAAAAATTTTGTGTTATTCACGTACCGCCAAATGAGTTCACTTGTCTAGTACCAGGTAACCAAGGTATGAACAAGGTATCAGCTCACGAAGCTGGGTAATATTCAGGATCACAACTTGCTGCATTTATCCATCGTATTGTTTGGTTTAAATTATATAAAAAGAACACCGAGACTTCTGTCATTTACACAATCATAATACTCAATAAATTTTACCTTTTAAGATGGTGACTGTATAACACTATATTTTTGCATTACTAAACTGCAAGTCTGCGCTATATGGCTGAATCAATATCAAAGTCATATTACCGGATCCGACTTTCTTTAATAGTAAACGAATACTATTTGCCAAATAGGAATATTTGTCACACATAAGGTGTTGAATTACAAGATGGAGCCACTCGGAGGCAAAACCAGAGCTGCTGTTTTAAACGGATAAACAATACTAAAAATTAATGAAGTGGCATAGAACCACAGAGAACAGACGAATACATACCTAAGACTGTCACAGTAGAAGCACTTGTCTTTAATTCGGGTTTGTGTTGCACATAACAAGTTGCGAGACCTCGTAAATGTGTTGTTGCAAAACCTCGTCAATGTGCTGGTGCATATGCCTATTTGCGAGTCCTCGCAAGTGTGCTGCTTCGTTACTTACATCTATTTTGAGTTTTTTTCTACTCATGTTCATCTATAAAGTTTGTGTATTATAGTATTAACCACCCTCGTGTTATGTACTGGTATTGTCTCCGGTCCTCCGCTCACACGTTTTACGAAAGACTAATTCAGATAACCCACAATGGTTACAGGAATAATATAAATCAAGAAGAGACGGGGGACTACTGGGCAAACTCCTTAACTTTTCCGACACCATTAAACTATTTATTTCATTATCTAAAATACACGCAAATTACATGCAAGACATAAAACGTTTATCACCACAAAATATACAGATCAAACCTGATAACCCACTAGTCTCTTCCACAGTCTTTCTGACAACACATTAGTCTCTTCCTCCATTCAGGAGTTGTCAAACAAGGAATGAACTGCCACTCAATCTTCAAAATACATCAACACTTTCGCACTTTTGTTTTTCAAACACAGACTGAAACGGAACTACATCACAATACAATTAGAATGTATAAAAATGTGGAAACCAAAATACATCTAAATGTATGATCATTTTTTTTCGTATTAATATTATTTATATATAAATTTCTCACATGAATTATCCAACTTTCACTGTTTAGTATTAATATAATCTTGTTATTCAATATTATAATAGGCTATTACTCTGGCACCTGTTACCGGGAATTCTTAACATTGTATTAAGTATTGTATCACGATATTTTTCACACAAACTCTTGTTGTATTAGTTTATATTTAACAGCTTAGATGTGATACACATTGCATTTTATAGGTATCATCATTTTGTCGTGTTAGATCATTATTGTTATTGCTAAATATATGAAGATATTCCTCATTATTCATAGCTTAAGCAATATTTTATTATTTCATATTATTCTTTATCTGTCATTGATACTTAGGTGCACGATAAACCTTAAGAATGTCCACCACAACTCAAGACAGAATTTAACAATATGCTAAATTATTACTTTTCCTCGGCGTTAATTAGTGAAGACCAAGACAACCTTCTCAAAGTGAAGGCAATATACAGGAATGATGAAACAATTTAACTATGCCGCATTCAGATTAAGAACGTTTACATACTTATACAAAATATAGTTAAAATTGAACAAATCACCAGGACCAAAAGAGTGTTCAGCAGCCTTGGAAGAGTACAGAGAGGAATATGTGACCCACTAATAAGAATGTTAAATAAATAAACCAACACAGGAAGAGTCCCTAATGTCTGGAGGGATGTCAATCAAGTCCCAATATTAAAAGGGGAACAGATACCTTGCTATGAACTACTGTCTGAATAACCTGACGTCGATAGTGGGAAATTTCCTGGATATAATAACAAATTCAATGGGAAACTTCAGGAAAAATATGATGAAATATGATGAAAAAAGAAATAAGGCTTCAGACACTTTATCGTCACCAGAAAGACTAATTATGAAGGTTCAGGCTACATCATTGAAGGGAATGTTTTCAACTGATTCAGATCCTCGAGAGTTACCATCAGCGGGGTGAAGTTACATTGGGATAATGTTACTTGTGGTGTGTCCCATCGGTCTATTTTGGGGCCTTAGTAGTATATAATATATTCAATCATATATATTGGAGTGAACAGCAAAACCAACAAGTTTGTGGATGCCCAGTAAGCTATCACCCACAGGATGAGTACATGGTACACAATATACCGCTCCCTGGAGGAGTGTAAGGTGCACGATAAACTACCACATAAAGGTTGTTGAGGAACTGTACAAACTATCGCTCACAGCATGAGTAAGGGGCACATGATACACTACCGCTCATAATATGATTAGGGAGTGCATGGCAAACTATCACTCACCGGATGAGTATAATATGCTCAATACACTGCAGCTCACAGTACAACGTCGGAAGCGTCCCACTACTCAGACTAATCGACGTAAAAAGAGGAGCGATGACGGGTTATGTCGTGTAGGAGGACAATAGTAGAGGTGAGCTAAGCATTGTTAATAAAGAGGGAGTTGACTGCCATCTTGGATTCCATTTGAGCAGTCCGAGGACAGTAGGATACCGGGAACTCCAATCAAATTTAATAAGAGCTGGAACAGGGTGACATTCACACTAGTTATACCATTTATCATCATACTATTATGCAGGAAGAGTCACGAAGATACGGGTAATCTAATAAAGTCAGGAGACTTCTAGACGTTACTACTGGTAGGCTTAGGTTGGCAAAAAGTTCCTCTGGGAGTTTGCACCAGATCTACTTCAGCAGGTACTAATTCACCAGATCTACTTCAGCAGGTACTAATTCACCAGATCTACTTCAGTGCTGAAGTACATCTGACTAACTGTAAACTGTGAGACCTATTCACATGTCTCACATCACTAAGTAATTGTGAACAAAATTCACAATTCAGAGATAATTCTATTAAAATGCTAAACTTTTTTATTTCAATTAATATATTCAAAGTTTGATTAATATATATTACATGCATGTGCATGATTGTTTATTTCCAAAGGTCGCCCACCGGATGGGTGTGTTATGCATGATTAGTAACTGTATGTAACTGGCTCACAACAGATGTACATTACTCAGCTTAGAGACTGTTGTGGTCCAATTCTTGAACCAAATGTGCTTTAAAAGATTATTGTTATATAAACATTTAACTGTACAGCTAACTTATCAAATTTGCAACTATCTAGCTTAATGAATTTTTGGGTTCAGCTCCTGAGCCTATTATGAGCCTCTGTAACCTTGCCCACTATCGCCCAGACTATGAGTAGGGGAGTAAATCAAATGAAAGAATCAAAGGGCAGAGGCGAGCGCGACAAAAAAGGCGTGTTATGTAGACGAGAGTCAAGGCTGCCCCGTCAGGGTGAGAGCGACAATATACCATATAAAAGCTCGGTCTGCCTCGCCGACACATCACACTCCACCATGAAGCTCCTGGTGAGTGCCTCCCCCGGCCTGTGTTATCGTATTGTGTTGTGGTGGTGTCCAAGTGTTCCTGAATACGGACGGGAAATAGAGGTGGCGGTATGGGTAAGAAAAGTGGATGCTGCTGCAGGTTACTGGGCTCTGACCCAAAGTGGGCTGCAGACATTCACACAGGAAAAATGAAGAAGGGCAGAGATCTCAGAAACGGGAAATTCAAGATCTGCTCTGATATAATCTGCTTGTAGCCTTGCAAGATGTACGATTGTTTTAGCCTCAAAGACACTGCAACTGCCACAGTCAAGCGTACATTGGAAATGTCTGTTTCTCATGCATACATAAAGTAGCAACTGTTTAAATTGGGGATAAACTTGCCCTCTTCTAATGTCACCGAGAATGATAGAAAGGTGTAAGGAGTCATGACAACACTAGTCTAGTGACTATGAGAGTTTTGTGGCGCTTTAGGTTATTTATGAAAAGTTATTTACACTAACACCGCTACAATGTAAGTCTATATGTAGACTTGTCAATAACAGTGTCTGTAAAACTGAATCGCAATTTAAAACCCTGAAACGTCAAGGAAAAAAATGCTCAGATAAATTTGAACATTCAGTGGAATCTTCAGAATTAAAGGAGTGGCGTTAAATGCTTTTCAGAAGGTGTTCTAAATGTGATAATTAAGTGTTACCATCCCACATTATTCTGCCCTCTTGAGGCTCCCACTTCACTTATTTCTCCATTCTGACATGATATTATATTATATTCTAATGTTAGAAACCTAGAAAATTTATGTCAAAATCAATCAGGTAGTTGACTGACCTTAATATTAACACAGCTTCTGCTGTGTTTATGTCAAAATCAATCAGGTAGTTGACTGACCTTAATATTAACACAGTTTCTGCTCTGTCATTTTAGCTAGGTTAAACAAGGTTAGGTTTGATGATAAGATTACCAAAATCTTATAGTTAACAGACATTACCAATGTCTGTTAACTTTCACAATCATTAAAATCTCAATTCATTATTTGTAATTATATATATACATATACACACATATATATATATATATATATATATATATATATATATATATATATATATATATTGATCGCTTCACCGCTCGACCAACACGACCGGACAAAAGAGGATGGTAGCCGAGGCTATTTCCATCCCCCCGCCGGCACTCGGTTTGTAATCTGGGGCATGGTATGGTCGAGCGGTTAAGGGATCCTGTACGCCAGCAGAGTGCTCCTGGCAGTATGGGTTCGAGTCACTTATGGGAAGTGAGTTTTCAGTTGCATATAGTCCTGGAGACCATTCAGGCTTGTTCGCATATATATATATATATATATATATATATATATATATATATATATATATATATATATATATATATATATATATATATATATATATATATATATATATATATATATATATATATATATATATATATATATATATATATATACTGATCCGTGACAGCGCTAAGAATTCAAATTTTCAATATAGGTGAAAATACATTGAAAAGTGCACCACTCCTTGTATATATATTCTGCTCACACTTTCTTAATGACCTTCATCGTTTGCTTTTCTAATCGAGCAAAGTGACCAAGCAGGTGGTTGCCTGATGAAGACTGTACTACCTTCAGACCAAATTAGTTACGGCACCAATAACTTTTAAACTGAATAAATCAGATATGCAAGAAGAAATCTAAATATAAATTAGAACAGTAATTGGTATAATAACTTTCTGCAAGCCAGAGTCTAACCAATAATATTTTATTTCCGTTTTAGATACTTGTTTCATTGGTTGCGGCAGCCGCCGCCGAGAAACGCCCGGCCTACAGTCTACAAAGACCTTCTGGTCCAGGTCTGATCATAGGTGGATCAGGAGGCTTCGGTGGCGGCGTAGGGGCCGGTGGAGGAGGCTTCAGTGGTGGCGTAGGGGCCGGTGGTGGCGGTTTCGGTGGCGCAGGATTAGGTGGCGGCGCAGGATTAGGTGGCGGCGCCGGATTCGGTGGCGGCGCAGGATTAAGTGGCGGCGCAGGATTCGGTGGCGGCGCAAGATTCGTTGGCGTCAGCTGTGGAGCTGGACAGGTTCGTCATGTGGACGGAAGTTGCGTGACTCCTGTTGTCACCAGAAACTCATTTGTGTATACTGCTCCACCAGTGGCCCCAATCGTCGGTCCACGCCCAAATGTTCCCCTACCAAAGCTTGAACACAACATTATCTTCATCCGTACCCCAGAAGTTGGACTTGGTCAGGAACCCATTGTGGTGCCACCACCTCAACAGAAGAACGTCGTGTACGTCCTCAACAAGCGACCAGAATTGGACCAGAAGGTCGTCCATGTCCCAGCACCAGAACAACAGACTCCAGAAGTGTTCTTCGTCAACTACGCCGACGGCGACAACCCGACTCTACCTACAGGAGAGGACCTCCAGTCTGCCCTCAGTGTTGCTGCTCAAAGTGGTGGTCAGGTCATCGGTGCTGGTGGTGGCATTGGAGGCGGCATTGGTGGCGGCATTGGTGGTGGCATTGGAGGCGGCATTGGTGGAAGCCTTGGAGGCGGCATTGGTGGAGGCCTTGGAGGTGGCATTAGTGGAAGCATTGGAGGCGCCATTGGTGGTGGCCATGGAGGTGCCATTGGTGGTGGCCATGGGGGCACCATTGGCGGTGGTCATGGAGGCGGCATTGGTGGTGACTTTGGAGACTTCAGTAGTGGTGAGAGCACAGAAGGTGGATTCAGTGTGTCGACCCCGTCTGGTCTATATTCCACACCGTAAACATGTTAACAACGCCTTCGCCATCAAGCTCTTGGTCTCGTACTGCAGGACGGAACAACTCATTGTTTATATCTAATTTATAATGTTACTAATCCTTCCACTTGTGTAATATTTATTTTATCCAAGTCATGATTTTATTTAACATGACAATCTCGGATATCACCTGTAAACGATGACCAAGATAAATATTAACCTTATTTATATGATTTGTTTAAATTTTCCTGGTGGTTTAACGAAAAGAATAAAGACGAGCACTTTAGTGTGAGCTATTGAGGAATGACTCAAGCCATAACTTATGCTTTTAATGGAGAGGAGACAAGAGGCTAGCATTAGTGTGGTACTAGTATAGGAAGCTAGCATATGAGGTCACCACTATTGTAGTACCAGCATTTTGTTTAACTAAATCATGAAGCCAGCACAAGTGTACTAAAATGCTATTGTGGTACCAGCACTAGTGTGGTACTAATCTAAAAATTTTGTGTTATTCACGTACCGCCAAATGAATTCACTTGTCTAGTACCAGGTAACCAAGGTATGAACAAGGTATCAGCTCACGAAGCTGGGTAATATTCAGGATCACAACTTGCTGCAGTTATCCTTCGTATTGTTTGGTTTAAATTATATAAAAAGAACACCGAGACTTCTGTCATTTACACAATCATAATACTCAATAAATTTTACCTGTTAAGATGGTGACTGTATAACACTATATTCTTGCATTACTAAACTGCAAGTCTGCGCTATATGGCTGAATCAATATCAAAGTCATATTACCGGATCCGACTTTCTTTAATAGTAAACGAATACTATTTGCCAAATAGGAATATTTGTCACACATAAGGTGTTGAATTACAAGATGGAGCCACTCAGAGGCAAAACCAGAGCTGCTGTTTTAAACGGATAAACAATACTAAAAATTAATGAAGTGGCATAGAACCACAGAGAACAGACGAATACATACCTAAGACTGTCACAGTAGAAGCACTTGTCTTTAATTCGGGTTTGTGTTGCACATAACAAGTTGCGAGACCTCGTAAATGTGTTGTTGCAAAACCTCGTCAATGTGCTGGTGCATATGCCTATTTGCGAGTCCTCGCAAGTGTGCTGCTTCGTTACTTACATCTATTTTGAGTTTTTTCTACTCATGTTCATCTATAAAGTTTGTGTATTATAGTATTAACCACCCTCGTGTTATGTACTGGTATTGTCTCCGGTCCTCCGCTCACACGTTTTACGAAAGACTAATTCAGATAACCCACAATGGTTACAGGAATAATATAAATCAAGAAGAGACGGGGGACTACTGGGCAAACTCCTTAACTTTTCCGACACCATTAAACTATTTATTTCATTATCTAAAATACACGCAAATTACATGCAAGACATAAAACGTTTATCACCACAAAATATACAGATCAAACCTGATAACCCACTAGTCTCTTCCACAGTCTTTCTGACAACACATTAGTCTCTTCCTCCATTCAGGAGTTGTCAAACAAGGAACGAACTGCCACTCAATCTTCAAAATACATCAACACTTTCGCACTTTTGTTTTTCAAACACAGACTGAAACGGAACTACATCACAATACAATTAGAATGTATAAAAATGTGGAAACCAAAATACATCTAAATGTATCATCATTTTTTAATCAATTAATATTATTTATATATAATATAAATTTCTCACATAAATTATCCAACTTTCACTGTTTACTATTATCATAATCTTGTTATTCAATATTATAATAGGCTATTACTCTGGCCTACTATAAAAATATGATGAAAAAAGAAATAAGGCTTCAGACACTTTATAGTCACCGGAAAGACTAACTAAAAAGATTCAGGCTACATCATTGAAGGGAATGTTTTCAACTGATTCAGATCCTCGAGAGTTACCATCAGCGGGGTGAAGTTACATTGGGATAATGTTACTTGAGTTGTGTCCCATCGGTCTATTTTGGGGCCTTAGTAGTATATAATATATTCAATCATATATATTGGAGTGAACAGCAAAACCAACAAGTTTGCGGATGCCCAGTAAGCTATCACCCACAGGATGAGTACATGGTACACAATATACCGCTCCCTGGAGGAGTGTAAGGTGCACGATAAACTACCACATAAAGGTTGTTGAGGAACTGCACAAACTATCGCTCACAGCATGAGTAAGGGGCACATGATACACTACCGCTCATAATATGATTAGGGAGTGCATGGCAAACTATCACTCACCGGATGAGTATAATATGCTCAATACACTGCAGCTCACAGTACAACGTCGGAAGCGTCCCACTACTCAGACTAATCGACCTAAAAAGAGGAGCGATGACGGGTTATGTCGTGTAGGAGGACAATAGTAGAGGTGAGCTAAGCATTGTTAATAAAGAGGGAGTTGACTGCCATCTTGGATTCCATTTGAGCAGTCCGAGGACAGTAGGATACCGGGAACTCCAATCAAATTTAATAAGAGCTGGAACAGGGTGACATTCACACTAGTTATACCATTTATCATCATACTATTATGCAGGAAGAGTCACAAAGATACGGGTAATCTAATAAGGTCAGGAGACTTCTAGACGTTACTACTGGTAGGCTTAGGTTGGCAAAAAGTTCCTCTGGGAGTTTGCACCAGATCTACTTCAGTGCTGAAGTAGATCTGACCAACGTTAAACTGTCAGCAAAACTATTCCCATGCCTCATGTCACTATAATTGTTAAAAAAAAAAATCATAATTCAGAGATAATTCTATTATAATGTTCAATAATATTTATTTCACTAAGAATTTCCAAAGTTTGCTTAATATATTGAATGCATGCACATGATTGTATTATTTCAACTATCGCCCACCGGATGGGTGTGTTATGCATGATTAGTAACTGAATGTAAATGGCTCACAACAGATGTACATTACTCAGCTTAAAGACTGTTGTGGTCTAGGTCTTGAACCAATTGTGTTATAAAAGACTACTGGTATATAAACATTAAACTGTGTGGCTGTCTTGGGATTATCTTGAGATTATTTCGGGGCTGAGTGTCTCCGCGGCCCAGTCCTCGCCCAGGCCTCCTTTTTGTTACACACCCCCAGGAAGCAGCCCGTAGCAGCTGTCTAACTCCCAGGTACTTATTTACTGCTAGGTAACAGGGGCATCAGGGTGAAAGAAACTCTGCCCAAAGAAAATCAAAGGGCAGAGGCGAGCGCGACAAAAAAGGTGTGTTATGTAGACGAGAGTCAAGGCTGCCCCGTCAGGGTGAGAGCGACACTATACCATATAAAAGCTCGGTCTGCCTCGCCGACACATCACACTCCACCATGAAGCTCCTGGTGAGTGCCTCCCCAGGCCTGTGTTATCGTATTGTGTTGTGGTGGTGTCCAAGTGTTCCTGAATACTGACGGGAAATAGAGGTGGCGGTATGGGTAAGAGAAGTGGATGCTGCTGCAGGTTACTGGGCCCTGACCCAAAGTGGGCTGCAGACATTCACGCAGGAAAAATGAAGAAAGGCAGAGTACTCAGAAACGGGAAATTCAAGATCTGCTCTGATATAATCTGCTTGTAGCCTTGCAAGATGTTCGATTGTTTTAGCCTCAAAGACACTGACTTTAACTGCCACAGTCAAGCGTACATTGGAAATGTCTGTTTCTAATGCATACATAAAGTAGCAACTGTTTAAATTCTTCCGGGGATAAACTTGCCTTCTTCTAATGTCACCGAGAATGATAGAAAGGTGTAAGGAGTCATAACAACACTAGTCTAGTGACTATGAGTCTTTTGTGGCGTATTAGGTTATTTATGAAAAAAATATTTACACTAACACCACTACGATGTAAGTCTATATGTAGACTTGTTACAGGTAGTAGGTGAAGAGCAAATCAGCAGTGTCTGCAAAACTGAACCTGAAATCTCAATTGAAAACCGTGAAACGTCAAGGAAAAAAATGCTCAGATAAATTTGAACATCCAGTGAAAATCTTCAGAATTAAAGGAGTGGCGTCAAATACTTTTCAAAAGGTGTTCTAAATGTGGTAATTAAGTGTTACCATCCCACATTATTCTGCCCTCTTGAGGCTCCCACTTTACAGCACCTTTGTTTTAGTTTTCTTCACCAGATCATCACATATTTCATTGAAGCATAAACACATTTACGACACACAATACAACACATTTTGCATACAAATAATGCTTATTTGTATTGCTCACTTAACACACAGACATGTATTTAAGTTTCAGGGCTTCAGAAAAAATAGACTTTATAAACCTTTGATGAATACTCTTTTGCAGTGTATATACATTGAGAGGTGTAGGCCTACGCTTTGAGGAATGTATAAACTAAGGTTTCATTACTTCTCAATATTAACAAGATATTATATTATACATGAATGTTAGAAACCTAGACAATTTATGTCAAAATCATCCAGGTAATTGACTGACCTTAATATTAACACAGCTTCTGCTCTGTCATTTTAGCTAGGTTAAACAAGATTAGGTTTGATGATAAGATTACTAATGTCTCTTAACTGTCACGATCATTAAAATCTCAATTCATTAATTGTAACCAATATATATATATATATATATATATATATATATATATATATATATATATATATATATATATATATATATATATATATATATATATATATATATATATATATATATATATATATATATATATATATATATATATATATATATATATATATCCACTAAACCGTAACAGCGCTAAGAATTCAATCTTTCAATATAGGTGAAAATACAATGAAAATTGCACCACTCCGTGTATATATATATTCTGCTCACACTTTCTTAATGATCTTCATCATTAGCTTTTCTAACAGAACAAACTGACCAAGCAGGTGGTTGCCTGATGAAGATATTCAGACCAAATTAGTTACAGCACCAATAACTTTTAAACCGAATAAATCAGATATGCAAGAAGAAATCTAAATATAAATGTGAACAGTAATTGGTATAATAACTTCCTGCGTCTGAGTCTGCCAGAATCTAACTAATAATATTTTATTTCCGTTTTAGATACTTGTTTCATTGGTTGCGGCAGCCGTCGCCGAGAAACGCCCGGCCTACAGTCTACAAAGACCTTCTGGTCCAGGTCTGATCATAGGTGGATCAGGAGGCTTCGGTGGCGGCGTAGGGGCCGGTGGAGGCTTCGGTGGCGGTCTAGGGGCCGGTGGTGGCGGCTT